AAAAAAAAAATAGATTTTAAACAAAAACAAACAAATAGGCTATAACAGCACGCTGTCATGCTATCAATTTTAATATCTGTGTTGAAAACCCCATTTGCAAAGATTATTATGGCCTCAACCTTTTGATCAAAGAAAGGAAGTTACGTTGAACTGTCTTCTTCCTTTACATCTAGATTTGCACACAAATAAAGAGCTATTATGCAGTATGATAGTTTGCTGGGCCGTGAATATTACGTCTTGCATTGACTAATAGCCATAGCATCTTCTGAGAAAATGACGAATAATAGTAGCAATTTCATCTTTCCCTGAAAGTCACATTGCTAACTAAACCATTGACCCATCGTAGAATTTCTAGAGGGATTGGCAATTGATGAAAGAGATTATTGGACCGACTCCTGGATGTGAAATTGATTGGAAAGTTCGAATCCAACTTCTCACATCTAACTCATCTTACAGTCATCATTGCAATTCAAGAATCAAAGAAGATTCTCGATTGTAACCGGCCCTTTTGGTAGCCGGTTTTCTAATGTGAAAATCAACTGATCACTACATGGCTCAGCAGCTACAAATAGTAAATCCTCGTTCCTGATGGAGTGCCGTTACGTGAGGTTGAAGTCTTTGTTTTTTGCACTTGGAAATTAACCTAGTTGGGCTGTGACCTGAACTACGGTTTCATTTAACGGCATCAACGGGAAAATGTCCCGGGCTTCTAATACAGTAGCTCTGAGGTACCATAGCTTTGGAGACAAGAAGACTTTAGCTCTAGAGTTGATGTTAGCGGCTGTGTCGGTCTTCGTTTTCGTTGGTACAGATAATCTGGATCTTTACGGGTGTTTTTCTGAAGATTTTTAAGATATTATTTGACCCAAAATATTTCAACACAGACTTTTCTACTATAAGAGATGCACGAGAACATAGACAAATTTTTGCAAGATCTCCAAATTTCTTCGCTCCATCTCTCGCAAATAATTCCTTGTTATCTTGGCCCTTGTCTTTTCTGTTACTATCATTTTGGTTTAAATTCTATCAAAAAGCAAAATAAATAAATTAATAAAATCATGATTCTCTGCTTTCAATTCTTCCTTCTATTGTGGCCTGTGCATATACTGAATATGAAAGCTAGAATCATATGCATAGACTGAGGCTATTGCTTCCGTTCCCTACACTGAAACTCATGAATTGGCGTGCGAACAAACATTAACTCATCTTGGTATAGTCCTCAGTTGCCAGATTTTCTTTGCGGAAGCAATAACCCTGGAAAACTGTCATATATAGTGACTTGGCACAATATCATATAAATTTTTAATATTTCTTTTCAGTATAGAAGTATTTTAATTAGGTACATATATTTTTCTTCCCATATTATTATTATTATTATTATAATTTTTGGCTCCTGCTTCATTTCAATTAATATTTTAGATAAAACTCCTATCAATTTTTATTATTATTATCATAACTAAAATTTAGACTTTTTTTATTTTATTTTATTTTATTTTATCTTATCTTATTTTTTATAAAAAAGTAATAGAAAAATAATAAAATAAGTGATAAAAATGAAAAAAAAAAGAGAATGGAATGAAAAAATAGAAAGAGAAAAAAATGAATGCAATAATGAAAAAAATGAAATAAATAAAGAACAAATTGAAATTTGGATCAAGACAATATAAATTGAAAGTTTGGAGACTTAGTTAAACTTTCAAGTAGTGTAATTAATCAAATCAAGAGATTAATTGAAGAATTGATAAGATTGAGGATTTAATTGAAATTACTTTAATTAATGAAATCATTGGCTTAATTGAAGAAATACCAAAGTTTAGGGCTGATTCGAGTTAAAATTGTAATCAATTGAAATTTCAGGATCATTTTGTGAATGATGCTAAAATGAAAGGGTCCAATTACAATTTATTCAGGGGGCTTGATTACAAATATTGAGAAACTGTAATGACCAAATAAGAAAAGGCCATTCCCATCCCAAGAACGGCGCCGTTCTTTTATAAATAATTTCAATTTAAGAAATAGATCAACAACTTGATTTTTTTACTTTCACAGTAAATAATCTCAATGGTTCCATTCTTCAAAAAATATTTTAAGAAGTGAAACTTCAAATAGTAATATGTTGTTATTTTCTCATAAAAAAAGAAGCAAGGTACATGATTGTGCAAGTTGACGAGAAGCTTAGTGGAAATTGGGGTTGAAAAGGTCCTCCCATTCGTAACAGATACTGGTCAATACATTAGGTCGAGGGCATCCATTAATTTAATGCAGCTTTTGTTTATTGATATTTTGAAGAAGAGAGAGGGATAATTTAATACCTATTTCATACCTTTGATTTAATACGACAGGCATAGTTTTGAAACTCTGATCGGGCAGTAGGTTAATTCCGACCCGATCTTCGTTCATGCAAAGTTATTGTTCCAAATCTTTAATTAAAGTGCAAGATGATAAAGAATGAATTGAACCAATCTGGTTTTTTATCCTTAAAGATAAACTTGTTTTTTATGGTGCAAATACCCAGAAAATATTATATAATTGCATTGTTTAAGCACTTCACTGGAACTTGATTTTATAAGTTTAATTTACAGACTCATCTTAATCCCGGTATGAGTAGCATCGTAGTTGGAGATGTATCTATTTTGTGAGGGTTAGTTATACTTTTGTTAATGTTAAAAATGGATGTAAACATAAACTAATGTTGCTATATTAATGCTTTTGGAATGCTACATGCATGTAGAATACTATTAACTTGGTTATCAACTATTTTAAGACTTATACTTAGGTATTTTAAATATTTTTTTCATTATAATTTCTATGTTAGTATTTATCAAATCATTAACTTTGAAGTTTTGCTCATCTCATGAATGAGTTATATATAAAATGTAATTCCATATAATTATATAAATATGAATCAAAAAGTGATGATGTTAATAAATTTTGTTATTGATTGAATTGTTGGGATCTAGGATAGTTGAATTATTATGAGAATATTTATTTTGAAGCATACAAGTTAATCAATAAATTGGAATGTTATAAATACATAGAAAATTTTGTCAAAATCTCGATAAAAACAAAATTTTAGGCTTTTGTTGTAATTACAATATATTATTGGGATCGATGATGATTGAATTTTTATTGAATTATTATGAGGATATTTATTTTGAAATGTATAAGTTGGTCAATAATTTGACATGTTACAAATACAAAGCAAATTTTTCCAAAATCTTAATAAAAAAAATTCAGACTTTTGATGTAATCATAATATATATTGTTGGAAATCATTTATGAAATTTAAAGTTGTTATAATTTGGGTTAATCTATGAAATACTATTTTCAAGTCATGAAGTTAGATTAATATAATAAAAAATAAATAAATTTAATTCTTAATCAATCTAATATTAAAGATAAAATTAAAAAAAAAGTTTTTTGTAAAAAGAAAAAAAACCAGAGTTAATCAAGTCAACTCATTATACCCACAATCCATGTCATCAGATTGAGTTAATCCAATAAAAATAAATTTAATATTAAAGGATAATTTTTTTTCTTATTGATTCTTCCTAATATTAAAGGATGCACTTTAAAAAAAAATAATTAAAAAATCTAGTCAATTGAATTAAGTTGCTAAACTCGATATCTATGTTTTAAAAGTGAGATAATCCAATAAAAATAAATTTAATATTAAAAAATAAAAAATTATTGATTAAAAAAAATATTATTCTAATAAATAGTATTTTTTTAGGAGGGGCACAATAAAAATCCTTTTTCTTTTAGTTTATTTATTAATATATAATAAATTAATTTTTAGAACATTCTTATTTTATTTTATTTTATTTTATTTTATAAACACATTTATTGACGGCGATTAATGTGAAATTAAGGTTCTAAATTGATTGCGTATTTATATGAAGGTTGAGAAAATGATAGAATTGAATCAGTAATATAATCTCCTCCTGGTTAATTACTTATCACTTGAATATTGTCTAGTGAGCTGGTGACTCACTTCACCACATTCCTGTTGATTTTTAATTTCTATATTTTTCACCATTTAATTGGTAGAGTAATTAGTAACCATTCAATCAAACAAACGGGGAACAAGGAAGGAAAAGAAAATATTAAAAAATGTTGTTGTTTCAACTCTATAATTTTTTAATCTCACTGGGCAGTATACTTTTTTGGTTATATGGATATATAAATAATAATAAAATAAAAAACCCTACGATTACGAAGCCAAATTGAGAAAGGTTTGATTGGTCTCTTCGACGATCAAGTCAAGATCTTTTACTTAAGCTTATGTTTCACTGTATACTACTTTAATCTAATGCTTACATGATGGGCTCCAGATAAAGATGGTAGTGCCTCTATCGAGGGGAGAAAGAGCTAGGAAATTTCCCTTCTTGTCTCTATCTGCAATTAATAAGCGTTTACAATTTGACTTTTGTTTGAATATTTTTAGCAAAAGAAAAGAAAAGATTTGTGGCCTTTACCAAAATCCTGCCTGGTAGAAAATTTAGCTAAGAAGCAGGTTTCCCTCTACTTTCGTGAGAAGGTACACGGGAAATTCCGAGAGAGAGTCATGACTCAGAGGGTCAATGTGGGTTTACAAACCAATGTTATTTTAAGATTTATAAAAAAAATTAAAATTAAAGCCCTGTTTTTTTTTTTTTTTAAATCAAAGAAGATGCCGAGGCTATTTAAAAATGTAGAATTAAAATAATTTTTTATATAAAAAATAATAAATTAATATTTTTTTATTTTTTAAAATGTATTTTTATATCACCACATCAAAATAATTTAAAAAATATTGGTTTTTACATGATTGAATTACTTGGATAATTTTAGGGATTCATTCATCACGATCCGAAGCAAGCACAGTTCCGATGTCCTCGTTGAAATAGACTTCGCAAATTTGTGCAACTGATCATTTATCAGTCCCAAATGCCAAATGCCAAAAAAAAAGAGATTCAGATCATAAGACTTTTCCATTATCAAATGTACCCCACATTTTTCTACCCGACATCTGGAACATCATAGAAGCTTATTTTGACATTCAGTTCCAATTCCTCTACACCTTGCAGCAATTCCTCTGACCCGATCAATGATATACGCTGTATCCAAGAATGCTTAGTGGAATTTCTGTCAAACGTAACTGCCGCCATCGTCTCAAACAATTCAATACCATTGCTCTTATTTTTGAATGTAGCAACACACATATCAAACTGAAGAAATGATGTTTCTTGATCAGTGGCTTCATTGCTACTGGAGGCCGAGACAACCCAAAGAAGCAGCGCTTGGAGTTTATTACCATCTGCAACTGAAACTGAGGGTAAACGAAATGATAATGATGACCCATCACCGCGATGGCTGAACCATTCTGGTATCTCTCCACCAGCAAGGCAAATGTCATAATGTTTACCTTTGCATAATCCCTACATATTGGTTTCAAGGTAAGCAATTAAAATTTGAGTTCTTAAAACTACGATATTTACATGCTAAATGTTTGTGTTCAAGCAATTAAGTGAAGACACAGAGAAGGAGAGACAACCTGAATAAAACTCATCTTATAGTTTTCAGATAAATTGTTGCAGTCATTTAAGTTCAAAATGGACCAGTTATTGCCCGCACATTCAATGCCCTGAATCTCTATTAAATTTCGGCACCCTTTTACATCCAGTAATGGTAGTCTTTCGGGCTGAAGAGGCGCGCTTACTCTTTCAATGGATGTGCAGTCATTGATAGACAAGAACAGGACACTTGATGGAAGCTCTGAGATTGATAGAAGATTCGAGCATCTCTCAACCGTCAAAAATTGAAGCTTAGAAAGGCGGCTAATGCTGGAAGGCAGATTGAAGAATTCATGTCCAGACAAATTCAAATTTTCAAGAAAGGACAAACTCCCAAGATCAATGGAACTTGTAGCTTCAGACAAACCAGAATAACTTAGATTTAGTTCTTTCAATGAGCTGAAACTATTGAAAGAAGCTGGTAGCACATCTATGGAGCTCGAGCAGCTTTGTGGTGAAAGCCACGATGAAAATCTTGAAAACCAAGATTTAGATGGCAGATAAGGTGAGTCGAAAACTTTGTTGTATCCACCAAATGATAACTTTGTCAGCTTCTTCAAATATCTAGCTGATGGAGGAAGTTGCTTAATCGCAGTACCCTTTGTAAACAACTCTGTTAAGGATTCTATGTCACCCAAACTCTGGCAATTTCTCAAGTTGTATGCACTTAGTAACGTTCAGAGTTTGAAGAGATTTTAAGTTACCCATGCTTTCTGGAAGAGTCTTTAGGCTGTCACACACCTCCAAGTTCAACAAAACAAGGCTCTTCAAAGTTCCAATAGATTGATGTACCTCAACCAAACTCCTGCATCCTGCAAGTATTAGTCTCTCCAAACTAGAGAGTCCTCGGAAGTTCGGCGTTTTAGCAAGGTACTTGGAAAAGCTGAGATTGAGGATTTTCAGCCTGTTAAGAATCTGTCAAAGCAATGAGAAAATAAGAGAAAAATAGCTATGTGAAAAAATGTAATTCTAAATTAAATTTAGTTAGGGAAAATTTTGAGTGCCTATTGCATATATTTGACCTTAGTCCCCTTCCAAAGTTTTCGTACGTTACTGTTTTGCATATCAAGTATAACAAGGTCGTTTAAGTGAAAATCAGACGGCAAAGATTTCAAAGGGCATCGAAACCAACAAAGCCATATCAACTCTTTGGGGAGAAGACTGTAGCTTCCCACAATATGTGCTCTATTGATTTTGAGTAACTTTAAACGTTTTATTTTTGTAAACGATTTTGTGCTAAAAGATTCTTGCACATCTAGGGCCAGACCCTCCACAGCATCTTTTCCCTGAAAATAGTACAAAAAAAGCATTAAAATATCATGACAATAATCATAGTCTCACATATAATTACTTGGTAATGATTTTCGTTAAATAACAATTTGCAATCTATCTTAACATTGATTGTCCTAAAGGTCGAATACTTGGTAATGATAGAAGCAGGAAAAAAAGACAGTGACAGGGGTCTTTTCATTGAGCACAATCAAGATATGATTTTTATGTATAGTCATAGTGCTATATATCTAGCTAGAAATAAGATACTTTTATGAGAAAAAACTACATTTATTAATTTCAGGTATCATTTTATTTTGAATAATGTTGTATTAAAGATTTGTACCACGTCTCTGCTGTTATTGTAAAAATTCACCTGTGTTATTCTATATATTTAGAGTTATGAATTTATTTGAAAATTTAGGAATAATCTATAGTGTTATGAATATCATCATGCGGAGTATTTTGCCAATGGGCAATATCGATTTCCCAATCTCTATAGCAAATTGAAAAGGTAGGTTGAAGAGTATGGATTTGCCAATGGGCACTACACTATTTTCTTTTCTTCGTATATAAACTTATTTTTGAGTTTTTGCAGTAGGTGTATAGGCCATATGCTAGGTGCCAGATGTGATGTTACGGCGACTCTCTCGCGTGAGTTGAGAAGTTTTTAGATGGATAAAAAGTACTCAAACTCTAATTGATTTTTAGATATTATAAATAAAGATAAATAATTAATTATATAAATAAAAAGTATAAGCAAAGATAAATAACTAATTTCATTAATGAAAAATATTAACATTTTTAATGTCTTTACTTCTAATACATCTTTACATGATATAAACTACCTTGTTTATTTTTGTTTGTAATTGTTATGGTTTGATAGTATTTCTAAATTATATCAATCTATTATAACAAGTTTGCTATGATGAACCAACTCTAATTAATAACATCAAGAATTTGGTCTAAAAGATCTCAATTTAAAAAGATATTAAAAGAATGTTGAAATTAGAAATTAAAAGAGATTTGGTGATTATTGAAATTTCACATTTTTCTTTTGTATTTTGAATATTTATGATTCTTATGTCATGAGATATACGTTGAAATATTCTTAATTATAATTAAGAATTTTATTCAAATAAATTTAAAATTTTTAGCTATCATGTCATTCCAATTAATATTTTAGATAAAACTCTTATCAATTTTTATCTTTATTATCATAACTCAATTTTTTATTCTTTTTATTTTTTATTTTATTTTTAAAAAAAGAGTAAGAGAAAAAATAAAAAAATAAGTGATGAAAAAAAATGAATGAAATGAAAAACTAGAAGAAAAAAAAAGAATAACATGAAAAATTGAAATTAATAAAGAATAGATTGAAATTTGGGTCAAGATAATATAAACTGAAAGTTTGAAGATGTAATTAAACTTATAGTAGTTTAATTAATAAAAAAAAGCTTAATTGAAGAATTGATAAGTTTGATGATTTAATTGAAATTACTTTAATTAATGAAATTATGGGTTTGATTGAAGAAATACTAAAATGGAGGGAGAAGTAGGCAATAATACTTGAGAAAGGAAAAGATGAGTTTTGACGTGTCAAGGCTCTACTACTAAGTTGAAAAGAAATAAAAAATTTAACTTATTAGTTAGCAACCATTTTTTATTTATATATGTAAGGTAATATATAATAACGAAGATAGAAATTACAATACTAAAGTAGTCCTATAATATATATATATATATATATATATATATGTAAAAACATATAAAATGAATTAAAATAAAAGAATTATTTAAAAAAAAAAATAGATTTTAAACAAAAACAAACAAATAGGCTATAACAGCACGCTGTCATGCTATCAATTTTAATATCTGTGTTGAAAACCCCATTTGCAAAGATTATTATGGCCTCAACCTTTTGATCAAAGAAAGGAAGTTACGTTGAACTGTCTTCTTCCTTTACATCTAGATTTGCACACAAATAAAGAGCTATTATGCAGTATGATAGTTTGCTGGGCCGTGAATATTACGTCTTGCATTGACTAATAGCCATAGCATCTTCTGAGAAAATGACGAATAATAGTAGCAATTTCATCTTTCCCTGAAAGTCACATTGCTAACTAAACCATTGACCCATCGTAGAATTTCTAGAGGGATTGGCAATTGATGAAAGAGATTATTGGACCGACTCCTGGATGTGAAATTGATTGGAAAGTTCGAATCCAACTTCTCACATCTAACTCATCTTACAGTCATCATTGCAATTCAAGAATCAAAGAAGATTCTCGATTGTAACCGGCCCTTTTGGTAGCCGGTTTTCTAATGTGAAAATCAACTGATCACTACATGGCTCAGCAGCTACAAATAGTAAATCCTCGTTCCTGATGGAGTGCCGTTACGTGAGGTTGAAGTCTTTGTTTTTTGCACTTGGAAATTAACCTAGTTGGGCTGTGACCTGAACTACGGTTTCATTTAACGGCATCAACGGGAAAATGTCCCGGGCTTCTAATACAGTAGCTCTGAGGTACCATAGCTTTGGAGACAAGAAGACTTTAGCTCTAGAGTTGATGTTAGCGGCTGTGTCGGTCTTCGTTTTCGTTGGTACAGATAATCTGGATCTTTACGGGTGTTTTTCTGAAGATTTTTAAGATATTATTTGACCCAAAATATTTCAACACAGACTTTTCTACTATAAGAGATGCACGAGAACATAGACAAATTTTTGCAAGATCTCCAAATTTCTTCGCTCCATCTCTCGCAAATAATTCCTTGTTATCTTGGCCCTTGTCTTTTCTGTTACTATCATTTTGGTTTAAATTCTATCAAAAAGCAAAATAAATAAATTAATAAAATCATGATTCTCTGCTTTCAATTCTTCCTTCTATTGTGGCCTGTGCATATACTGAATATGAAAGCTAGAATCATATGCATAGACTGAGGCTATTGCTTCCGTTCCCTACACTGAAACTCATGAATTGGCGTGCGAACAAACATTAACTCATCTTGGTATAGTCCTCAGTTGCCAGATTTTCTTTGCGGAAGCAATAACCCTGGAAAACTGTCATATATAGTGACTTGGCACAATATCATATAAATTTTTAATATTTCTTTTCAGTATAGAAGTATTTTAATTAGGTACATATATTTTTCTTCCCATATTATTATTATTATTATTATAATTTTTGGCTCCTGCTTCATTTCAATTAATATTTTAGATAAAACTCCTATCAATTTTTATTATTATTATCATAACTAAAATTTAGACTTTTTTTATTTTATTTTATTTTATTTTATCTTATCTTATTTTTTATAAAAAAGTAATAGAAAAATAATAAAATAAGTGATAAAAATGAAAAAAAAAAGAGAATGGAATGAAAAAATAGAAAGAGAAAAAAATGAATGCAATAATGAAAAAAATGAAATAAATAAAGAACAAATTGAAATTTGGATCAAGACAATATAAATTGAAAGTTTGGAGACTTAGTTAAACTTTCAAGTAGTGTAATTAATCAAATCAAGAGATTAATTGAAGAATTGATAAGATTGAGGATTTAATTGAAATTACTTTAATTAATGAAATCATTGGCTTAATTGAAGAAATACCAAAGTTTAGGGCTGATTCGAGTTAAAATTGTAATCAATTGAAATTTCAGGATCATTTTGTGAATGATGCTAAAATGAAAGGGTCCAATTACAATTTATTCAGGGGGCTTGATTACAAATATTGAGAAACTGTAATGACCAAATAAGAAAAGGCCATTCCCATCCCAAGAACGGCGCCGTTTCCAAAAGAGACTGTTCGTCTTCTTCACCTCGCCAAACCAGGGGAAAGAAACGCCGCGCCTGCTAAACGTCCACGAAGAGTCGCCGACCGTTACTCCTGCATTAAAGTACATGCAAGGTCGCCTCATTATATGGAGGCGACCGCATGGCATTCTCTGGCTATAAAAGCCAGAGAAAGGCCATGATAAAGGAGGAGGAGACGAAAAAAAATCAGAGAACACAGACGGGAAAACCAGAGGATAGAAGACGAGCAAAAGGAGAGAGGACACAACACAGGGGGGCGGAAAAAAAGAGAGAGAGGAGAACGGGAGGACGAACTGAGGAGAAACTGGGGGGACAGGGAACGAACCAGAAAAGCAGGGGAGGAACGAAGGTACTACTAAGGAACAACGCAGAGGGAGCATTTAACAAGGACGAACAGAGAAAACAGAAAGAGAAGGAAAGAGTGACCATTGTCTTCGCCATCTCCAGCACCAGAGACAGAAGACAGAGAGGGAACAGAGAATGAAAGAAAGAGAAGAAGGTGAACAACCAGACAAACGCACAGACGAAGATCATAGAAGAGACTAAGGAAAAGTAGAAAAAAGAAGAGAAAACAGCAGCAGCCGACCAATCCGCCATCACGTCTGCATCTCCAGAACTACCAGGTAAGTCTCCCTACATCTTTTCCTCCGCTCTTCGAATCTAATTCATTTCTTACTGTTGCCTTGAATTTTAATTCACCATCTCTTGTAGCAAGCGCGCGTGAGCATTTGACGCACGCCTGCTGCCTAATCAGGTTATTGACTTGGGTCAATTACTGGGTTGGGTAAATAAAAATGGACAAACAGAAAAGTTAGTTGGAGTTGAGGCCCAGCCAGCTCAATCTGTTTTGAGTTAGGATGTGTTTTGTCCTTGTATTATTTTATTTTATTTTATTTTAATATTTAATCAAATAAATCCTTTTATGATATGAGAATTTTTTTTTAAAAAATGTGTATCTTTTTCAATTTATTTTTAGGTCCCTCATATTTTATTTAGGCATTCACTATATATAAATTTTTTTCTCTTTAAAAAAAAACAAAATATGTATGCATTGATTTAAACTCATTTTACTTGTTTATTCATTATCCCATAACAAAGAATATCATATATTTTTTTGGTTATGTAATATTTATCAACAATAAAATTAAAAATATCCATAGTTGAATATTCATTAATACTAAAGTCAGAAATATTACAAACAAACCATCGGTAGAATAATATAATAAATTCTTAGCAATTTAAAACAAAATCTACAATGCAGCTTACCTCAAGTAGTACGCTTAAGAGGTGATAATATCTTTTATTTTGTACAATGCAGCTTACCTCAAGTAGGACGCTTAAGAGGTGATAATATTTTTTATTTTGTATAACTAGTCTAATATCATAGAATATCCACTAATCAATAAGGTTCTTAGTGATCATAATATTAGATGATGACTCTTTAAACAAGATATTTTCTCATCAAAGAACGAGATGCCAAAAATTTATTTTTTTAATTAATTTTTTTAAGATAGCAATGACACAGGTGCAACATTTATATTAGAAGTGAATAATAATAAATTATTATCCTTACTAATATTTTGAATATGAACCTCTTTGTAGGTTTTTTATCCTCATATTAAAAGTGAATAATATATTTTTTTACAAAAAAATAAGTTTCTAATATTTTTAAAATGTACGCCAAAATCTTTTAGAATTTTATAATTTGGTTGTAAAATTCATAAAATACTTTTTATATTTTTAAACATAAAAAAATAGTTTTTGAACTTTTTTCTTAATTTTAAGAAATGCTCCCATATTTTTTTAAGATTTTTGCTCATATACAAGGAAACCTTTTGTTTAACCCAAACAAGAACTTACCTATCTAACCCGGGTCAACTCCATTTAGTTGACCTCAAATCTTTGGTTTGACCATAAACAGAATAAAAAAAATGTTGGTTTGACCCAAAAAACAAACCAAACCCAAAACATATCAAACTTGCAAAAAACATAAAACATAATATTTTTTTTTTAGCAAAAATGGATCAAAACCTAAACTCTCAAAACATAAAGAACATGTCCAGTAAACATGATTTAAATTCAGATCAGACATGAATAATCTAAGGACATAAACATGTTGAAAATCGATCACTAAAAAATAATTATGTATGAAACATTATTGATTATTAATCAATAATTATGATTTGATCAAAATAGGTTCTGATGCAAAAACAAAATCTTAGGATTAAAACTCAAAAATCATAAATATTGATATGAAATGACCCTAAATTATTGATTCACAAACTCATGTGAAGATGTTGATGCAAATAAGCAAAGTAAAAATGATCAAAATCAAGTAGCCAACATAATATTTATATAAAGAACATTGTCTAGAATTTGCCCTAAAATGCAAGAATGTCATTTAACTTAAAACTGGCTTTTGAGGCCCCAATTCTCTTGTTTTTTGTTCTCATTAACTACATTGTTATAATTATACATGTTTAAATAAATAAATAAAAAACAACAAGTCATATGAAACATATACGAGGTTTCAATTTCTAAAAATGTTAAACCTAAATAATAAACATATTCAAAATTGACACTTTAACATTTCATAAAAATCCATGAAGAACTTGGAGCCAAGAACATGCATTAGCAAACCTTTAAAAAAATATATAAGAAAAACCTACTACCATATTTGATAAATTTCTAGCCTATTTTAGTTTACCAAAAACAATCATCCAAATATTTTCTAAACATCCAACAAGCATTAAAAACCAACTCAAAGCATAATTAATTAAGAAAAAATAACATTTTCATGTATTAACCAATATCAAAACTAAAGACATTATAACACCAAAACAGGTTCAAAACATCATAAAAACATACAATTAAGCATAGGCTAGTAGAGGATTATACCTTATCAAAATCAAAAATAGTTATTGTCATTCTTTCTTTAAAAATCCAATCTTTTGGTCAATTTATAATTTATCATTTTAGCTCTTAGATGCTAAGTAAAAAACTTTATTATTAATGAACTCAAATAATAAGTTTTTTTCTTCTCTTCCCTCCTTCTCTAGATTGTATGGGTATTTATAGGCTTTTGTTAGGTTTTTTTATTAATTTAATTAAATATTGATCAATACTTGACTCTTTAATTGAAATGAGTGGGTTTCGAGCAGGTTTTAACAGCTAAAAGCTTGATATTTTTTTGGTTTTTCAATGATAGTTTTTGTAATGAACATGGTTTTGAGATTTTGATGGTTTTGCTAAATTTGATAGTCAAAGAGTTATTTCTAGCCTTTTAATCTTAAAAAAGTATATCTGTCCTCGATAAGAATAAACCTACTTAGAGGTCTGAAGTGTAAACACATAAAAAAACCATTGATTTTGCACAATGGATATCATAGTTGTGGTTGATTAAGTTGATAAAGGGGATATATATCTTTCATTCGGATCTAAATTTTTTCAAGTTGAAGGTTGAAGGTTTGTAACTTCCTATTTATTTAAGATCTAAATTTTCTCAAGTTGAAGGTTTGTAACTTCCTATTTATTTATTCAAGATATCAACTCAATCAACTCATAATTACTTTAAAAAAAATATGAATAGTAAACATAGAATATGTTATCTGCCCTTTATTCCAAACAATACATTTTAAACATTAATTAGATGATATACCATCTAGGTTTACCACTAAGAAATTAAAGTTTTTAATTTAGGATTTGATCAATATTCAATTTAATTCTATTAGCCACCACCAATTTTTTATGCTTATTTCATCCACCATTGAAGATTGAATTTCTATGTTCTGAAACCCTAATATTTATAAGCTTACACTATGAATCTGTGTTTGTACATTAAGTTGAACTTTATAACTCATTTTTTAATTACATGTGATGGATTGTGAATTTATTTTTTTGAGTTGTGTTTGTATTTAAACAGATAATAAAGCTAATTAATATAGTCTTATTATTCACTAAATGACCATGAGATGGCAAGGTTTAATATTAGACCTTATCTTTGAATGTTGTTTTGTAAATAATAAATACATTTATCATTAAAAACATACCATATAAATACATTTATCATTGAAAACATAAAATAACATAATTTACTTAAATAAGATGATGTTTATTGTTTTATTACATACCATTTACCTTAAATCTCTATTGACTAATTACAATTTCTAATTACTAAGCGACTATTTTATCATATTTTATCCTATTTACACATAGCTAATCTCGATATCCTTGAGACAATAACCATGTACAAATAAATATGTCAGAGACTAGATTAGTATATGTGTTATGATGAAAAGTTCTGGTCGAGAAGATTATCTACTTCTAATCTTAAACTATTAATTTCTTTTTATTACATTGAAATTTCAACTCAATTTTGTGATTTTTTTTCATTTAAATCAATAAAACTCAAAACTTAATAAACAACTTATATCAATATATAAAATCCATACCAAATGAAACCTTAATCGCGGAGTAAATTTTCCATCTTTGCAACTCCCTTGTTAAACAACTTTTCAACCATTCATTGGGAGATGAAGACGCTACGGCTTGATGATGGTAAGATGGAACTATCATTGTATCTGTCCGAGCAAGGCTGTAAATGTCACGATCCAACTTACCAATATTTGAAACAGCATTATTTTTTGTTATCAGATGAACCCCACACTGTTCAACTCCACTGGAGCTTATTTCGACATTCAGCTCCAATTCCTCCACTCCTTTCACTGCGCATCGATACCCCCCAATCAACGGTAGACTCAGAATCCAAGAATTCCTAGTGGAACTTGGGTCAAATTTGATGCTGCTGGACCTTTCAAACAATACCTTACCGTTGCTCTTATTTCTTAAAAGAGTTCTACACGGAGCAAATGACCCTTCTAAAGTGGTGGCATAGACAACCCCAATAAGCAGCCCTTGGAGTTGATTACCATCTGAACCTAAAACTGAAGGTAAATGAAATGATAATGAAGATCCTTCTCTCCGAAGGCTGAACCATTCTGGTATCTCACTGGCAGAGAAGCTAATCTCACACATTTCACCTTTGAACAATTCCTGTTGTTTTCAAGGAAATAAGGTAAGTTTTTTTGTTTTAATTAATTAACAATTCACATGCTATTTATGCCTGTTCATGTGTAAGAGAGACAAAAGGAGAAACAGAGAGTACCTGAACAAGAGTTTCCTTATAATTATTTGATAAATCGTTGCAGTCATCAAAGTTCAGAATGGATGAGCTAGTGTCCAGAAGTTCCTTCTCCCGAAACTCTATTAAATTTAGGCACCCAACTGAAGTAACTAAGAGTCTCTTTTCTCCCAGAACTGGCACCTTTTCCATTGTCGAGCAAATACAAGCATACAACCTCGTCAAACTTAATGGAAGTTCTGAGGTTGATAGGAATAGATTTGGGCATCTACGAACCCACAAATCCTTAAGATTAAGAAGGTGCCCAATGCTAGGAGGCAGGTTGGAGAATTTGCTCCCTGACAAATTCAGCTTTTCAAGACAGGACAAACTCCCAATATCAATGGAGCTTGAAGCTTCAGGTAGACCACAATAACTTATATCTAGTTCTTTCAATGAGGTCAAACCAGTTAAAGGAGTTGGTAGCATAGCTATGGAGGTAGAACAGCTTCGCCGTGAAAGCCATGAAGAAAATCGAGAAAACCATGATTTAGATTGTAGATCATGTTTGTAGCTGTATCCAACCAATGATAACCTTGTTAGCTTCTTCAAATGCCCAGTTGAAGCGGGAAGTTGCTTAATTGCAGTTCCATTTGCTAACAACTCAGTTAAGGATTCCATATCACCCAAGAATTCTGGCAATTTCTCTAGTTGTGAGCAGAAACTAATATTTAGAGTTTCAATGGATTTCAAGTTGCAAATGCTTTCTGGAAGAGTTTTTAGCCTGCAACATCCCTCAAAATTCAACGAAACAAGCCTTTTTAAATGTCCAATAGATGGATGTACGTTGGCCAAACTCGTGCAAGCTGTAAGTTTTAGTATCTCCAAACTAGGGAGTCCTTGGAAGTTTGGTGTTTTGACAAGGAGCTTGGAATAGCTAAGATTGAGGATTCTAAGCTTATTGAGAATCTGTCAAAACAATTAACAAAATGAGAGAAAGCTAGTCATGTGAAAAATGTAACTCTAAATTAAATTTCATTTTGGAAAAATTTGGGAGCCAGTTGGATATTTCGTACCTTAGTCCCCTTCCAAAGTTCTTGGATGTTACTATGCTGCAAATCAAGAACAACCAGGTTGTTTAGCTGGAGATCAGATGGCAAAGATTTCATAGGGCATTCAAGCCAACAAAGCCATATCAACTGTTTCGGTAGAAGCTTGTAGCTTCCGGCAAGATGTGCTCCATTGATTTGAAGTAATTTCAAATGTCTCATATTTGTAAATGATTTTGTGCTAAGAGATGCAACTGTTGATGCTCGAACATCTAGTGCGAGACCCTCCACCGCGTCTGTTCCCTGAAAATTAATGGAGAAAAGTAGAAAACCATCACTCACGAGAAAAATAACAAAAGTATTTTTTTTTTCAGCTTACATTAAATTTGACAGTATATAAGATTGTTTTGAGGTCCAGGACCATATGAATTTAGTTCTTACCGTTTGGTTGTTGAGGACATCTAAGGCATCCTCAAGAAGCCAAATTCTGTTGCGTTTCCCAGGATGGTCATATGAGACTTCACGAACAATCTCCCTGCCCATGTCTCTTATGAGGTCATGCATGTTTAACTCATTTTCATCATTAATTGACAAGAGCGACCTTTGGATGAGAATATCAATGCCGATATCAGGAAAGAAGCCACGACCATGGAGTATTTCTACTACATATTCTTTGTCCCAACCAATGAAAAAGCATGCAATATCGAGGAACATGGCCTTCACGTTGTCATCATCCAAGGTGTCAAAACTTATTCTAAGTGTTCTCTGAATTTGTCTGTTTGGAATTTTCCGTAGTTTCTTAATAGCACTTTTCCATACAGATATGTTTCTTCTGAACAAATAAGAACCTAAAACTTCAAGAGCTAAGGGAACCCCTCCAGCATAGTCAACTATAGCATTCGATAGCTCCACATAATCTTCCTCTGGATGGGTGTCCTTAAAGGCGTGCAAACTAAAAAGCTGAAGGGATTCATGTTGATGCAATTCCTTAACATGATATTTCCCATCCACTTCAATTTGAGTTAGTAAATGTTCATCTCTCGTTGTAATGACTAGTCTACTTCCTGGACCAAAACAATTTCTCTCTCTCACCAATGCTTCTAGTTGTTTAAGTTGATCAACATCATCAAGAACAACAAGAACTCTTTTGTGACGAAAACGATCTTTCATCAAATTGACTCCTTTAGAAACATTATCGATCTTCCAAGTATTTGGTTTCAAAATATCACAAAGAAGCTGCTCTTGTAATTGCTCTACTGTTTTTTCCTTGACATTCAAAATAAAAGAGCTTCCCACAAATCCATGACATAGTTGATTGAATACAGCTTTCGCTATTGTTGTTTTACCTATTCCTGGCATCCCATACACACCCACAACTCGAACATCATTTGACTGGATGCTTAGCAGGTCAATAATATAATCAACACGAGACTCAATACCTACAGGATACTTGGCAACGTCTAAGCATTTGGGACCTAATTTATGCAACAAATCTTCAACAATCTTTTGAATAAATTTCGATTCATACCTGTTAATTGCAAAATCAAGTCATATTCGGAAGAGATAGCTAACCATATGCAAAGAAGCTTTTTAAAGTGTCTGTGTGTCTGTACATATAATGGGAGTAATGGGAGTGAAATCAGGCTAGTCATAGCTATGCTAAATCGAAGCAATTAGGCATCTACTCCAATGGCTGCTTCGATTTTACTAATTGGTTTTAGGAATTGTTTTGATTAAAAATTACACTATTGAAGAGTGAAATTAGATCACAGAGAGAAAGACATACCCGTTTGCCATATCCTTCAGAATCCATCCAGATATATTTCCGGCCTCATCAAGAGCTTCTCTCCACCTTTTCAACCTCTCCATTTCAATCTCAAAGTCTTCTTCTTTTCTCTTAAGAGCTTCACCAACATTCCATTTCTGTTTTCGCACATATGACGGATCGATATCATAGAATATAGGAACAAGAAGCTGCCCCATGGCATGCCTACACTCAAGAATCTTTACAAGTTCGTCAAGACACCATCTAGAAGAAGCATAGCCTTTGGAGAAAACCACTACAGAAATCCTTGATTCTCGGATTGCCCTACTGAGTTGTGGGGAGATTTCCTTTCCTGGAGGAAGCTCATTACCGTCCCGAAACGTATAGATTCCCGCTTGGTCTAAGGCAGCATAAAGATGATCTGTAAAATTGTTGCGAGTATCTGCTCCTCTAAAACTCAAAAAGACATCGTAGGTCGATCCATGTCTAGAAGAGGATGAAGAAGAGGAATGAGACTCAAAGGATACAGAAGCCATACGAAGGCACAGTTTAGAAACCTAGGTAGCAAATTGGAAACGTTGTTTGAAGAGCATGGAGAGGAGTGATCACGGAAAGAAGTAGCAAGGCATGTTAACTGTGAAGGGTTTTTCTTACAAAGACGTGTAAATATCTGTGTATGTTGATGAGAAGTTACGTGCAGGTATGGGGATCAGTCGAATGGAAAATGTTAGGTGTGTGCGTGTATGTTACGTGTTCTAAGATATGAAACATTCTAGAGGCTTTTATGACTTTCATTTGATGCATGTCAGTCAATGCAATGCCGCCAGAGTAGACTAATAAGATATAAAAAAATGGTTTTTTTATTTTATTTAATTCTTACGTTATTTTTATTTAAATAAGATATAAAAAAACTCAAATTTTTGCAAAATCGTTGCAAAAACAAACATTTCTCTGAAAACTATCTCTCCAACGTAAAATGCATTCTAAAGTAATCTGGAGTAATTAATGCAAAGGTTAGAACTTTGGAGGATTGAAGCAAATTAGTATCGGGAGACATTTATTTTTATCTGCCAAACTGTAGACTACTAGTCATAATTTTCGGTAGACAAGATTGACTTTGTTTGTCTAATTCGTGTGTACCACCATAAATGCCAGAAATGATGCTTTTGGTCAGAAATTTAATCTTGTGCTACTATGAGATGGTGACTAAATTCAGAAATTTTTCAAGGCTTAATTATACCACCTGCACTTGCAATTTCATTCCTTCTAGTTTTTTTGAAGAATGTCTAGAACCTTTCACACGCTACAAAAGTTTAAATGTATTTTGAGTCATCTTGATAGAGACCTAAGAGTTGTAATTTATTTTTTATTCTTCTCAATTTAGAGTTGAAATGACCGTAATCTTCCCTGTTTTCATTTGGTTTATTACTAGAATCACGTTTGTTTAGCCATATTTTGTTTATTGCAGTTGAATTGTAAAATATCTTTAGGAATGAGGTGTTAAGAGTGTTTCATAGGAGTTGAAAAAAAAAATATAAAGATTTTGTATCTCATAATAAATCAATTCAAAATCAATTTATATAATTATAAAAATATCAAATAATTTATTTATAGAGGTCCAAAAGTAAGGATTGGGATGAGATAATAAAATAAAGAACGAGAAATGCATAGAGTCCAATAATTTCCTCCCTTGGAAATCTTTTACCCTTATTTTTCTTGTCTTGTAGTTATTATTTTAATGAATATCACTAAAACAACATGAGAAATAAATTTAACTTATATTCTTACGTATAAATTTATTATCATACAAATCACCAAACTGATTTTGATGAGTTAGCATAGAATATAACTTAAAATACAAATAATTTATTTATATAGGTCCAAAAGTAAGGATTGGGATGAAAAATAATAAATGAAAGTTAATTTGTTTCTTAAAAAAAAAACGAAATGCATATATTGTCCAACAATTTGATAAGAGAAATTGGATGCAGGATCCAAACCAAGCTAGCACACTTTCAATCTTCTTTCTTTTCTTTGGCGATCTAACTCCCTGATCCTTTGGTCATCTTCAGTATTCGCATTTTATAAATATTGGCTTTCTAGTTTCAGTCTTAAATCTTTAGATCATCTTTATCAATAATGATGGTAATGATGGCTTTTGTTCTCAAACTTTTGTCTAGGAATGCTTCTTTTTTTTTTCTGAGGTACAAGGATACTAAATGAGCTTACAAATTCATCAACACCATTAATAGGACTCTTGACATCTTCTTCACTTCACTAGTTGCACTCTAGTTTTTCTTGCCAAACTATTATCTAATTATTTTTCTCTTGTATTGGGTAAAATAATACCGAATGGGTCTACAAGCCCTTTGTCAAAAGACCCATCAACATGATGTTGAAATTCACAAAGGCTACACCCATACACCATCTTTGATTCTCCCTAAATTCTTAAACTTCTTCTTAAATTGAAAATCAGGAAATTGTACCTAACAACTTCCATTTCTTTTTTTTATTGGATGTTCTTGGAGATAACTTTCAACCGTTGAATCAGCATAAATATAGGAGAAGATATAAGAGGTAGTTGTCGTTAGCATAAATATAAATGCTGTAACAATTCTATTTCTATTTGAAAGTTATATACAGAATACTCATTAAAATTCTTTTTTTCTAAACTACTTACATGATATCAAGAGCATACATAAGACGTCTAACCAGTAATATCAAGATGTCTACCTCTCCATGTTCTTCAACTACTGCTGCTACTGAGTCCTCCCTTCCCATCTTCAATCCTTCTTCCTCCATCAAAATTACTAAAACTCACTCGTCTAAACTTTCCCTCTTGGAAAGCCACTATGATATCATGCCTCAAAAGCCAGAAAGTACATGGTTACACTGATGGAACAATGCAGCAGCCCGCTAGAACCATCATTACCTCTACTGGCTCTATAATTTCCAACTCGTCCTTTGATATCCGGGAAACACAATAATCTTATCATTATTTATCTCTTCTTCTCTTCTAGATGAGGTCTTGGCCCAGGTTGCTCATTACACCATCTCTGCTGATGTCTGAAAGGCTATAAGTTCTGCTTTTGCATCCCAATCTCATACTAAAGCAGTACTTGTTCGCTTTTAATTCTCTACCATGCGGAAAGGAAGTCAATCAGTGATCAAGTATTTTATGACGATCAAGTGTCTCACATATGAATTGGCCATTGTTGGTCAGGCACTGCAATGTGATGATATTATGTACTGCAATCTTGCTGGATTTGGTCCTGAAATTGATTTCTTGTTTTCTATGATTACTCATTGTGACAATTCTCTCATTTTGGAGGATATTTACTGCATGCTCTTGACATATGAAGCTCATATAAAATGTAATAATCAGGTTTTTTTCTTAGCCATATTAGGATACTAGCATGCAAATCCGACAAGATAAAAGGTAAGGGACAAGATAAAATGAGAAATGACACACAAAAATTTACATGGTTCACCCAATTTGGCTACGTCCACGGGCAAGTATAGAAGGATTTTACCAAGTAATGTGAGAATACAACTTCTCTCTAATAATAGGAGAACAACAAAAATCTCTCTATTATTAGGAGAAAACACCTCACTTACTATCTCACAAATACCTCACAATTTTGTGGGATTACTCTCTTCTCACCCTCTCTTCT